GGGGCCGGGCTGCGTTCGGCGGGTGACAGCTTGTACCGGTGATGGAACCGGCCCCAAACGGTCCGAGCTTGCGGTTGCATTTCGGGCCTAAATCCTCACCGGCTCTCCTGGGCTCTCTGGGACAATCTCCTCAGGTGGTTTTGCATCGCTGGGGTTTTGAGATTTGGCTGTGATGGGCGAGAATCGCCGGGGTTCTGTGGCAGGGACGCTGCCGGGAGCTGCAGCGTGGCAGTGCCAGAGCGAGCCTGTGACAGGTCCGGAGGTCCCAGGGTGGGCTCTGCACCTTCCCCTGCCGGGCCTGGGAGCTGCCCCGGCTTCAGACGCATGTCCTGGAGCCACAAACTCGCTGGGTATCCCAAAAATCCTCGCAGAGTGTAAAGAGTGAGCGTGGCTCTGACAGCAGCTGGGCGTGCAGTCATTTCTGAGTGACAGCCCTGCTTGGAACGGGAATTTTCCACTCTTTTATGTAATAGAGTAACCCCAAACGTTCTGGAGGAAGTGCAGGAAGCAGCCGGGTTCTGAGGGAACCTGCCTGCTGACATTAACACTCCCAGCTGCAAAACCTTTCCCTTCTGCTGCTCCAGCTGTGCCCATGGTCCATTCCACAAGCCCAGGTGGGTGATTCAGAGCTGCTGTCCCACTGCTGTCCCACTGCTGTGCTCCAGACAAAGCTGAGCAATAATGAACTCACTGGGCATTAATGAATTCTGAGGCAGGGCTGTGTGTGTGACAGGATCTGAGCATGGCCAGGGAGCTCCTCACGCCCTGCTCAGACCTGTCCAGGGCATGAGGAGCTCCCTGCTCTGCTCCTGAGCCGCACATGGCAACTCACAACGCGTGAGTTTCATTCTTGGTGGATGTCTTCTTGTTCCTTTGTTGAAATTACATGTTTGGAAACATTTCCTTATGTGGTGCAGCTTGTTTGTTTGTTTGGTAGGAATTGCAAATTACACATGCAAAGAGACTGTGGGATCTGGGCCGAGGTTAGAGATGGTTCATAGGAAAGAAGCATTTGAAGTATGTGAATATTTCCTCTGAGTTGAAGTTAAGGTTGGGTTGTTTCCTTTTGTTTGGTTGTATTTTTTTTCCTAGTTGGTGTCTGGCGTGCAAACAAACACCCAGTATAGATAACTCTTGTGACTGACAGCATCCAAAAGTTCTCCCTGTTGGTGAGCAGTTGTTTTTTGGGCATTTTTTTTCCCCATCAAAGAATAGTAAGGGCTTTTTTTTGTGTTCTTTTTTTGAAAGCAGTCTTCTCCAGAGGAGCACTGCAGGTAGGGATGCTTCTCCCAATCCTGTAAATACCCAGTGCATGCCTGTTGTGTTGTGCCTTGGGTTTGTTTTATTTTATTTCACTGGTTCCCTATCCCTCGTGAGCAGGGATGGTGGAGGTGGAAGGGGAAGAAGCTCTGGGCAGGATGGTTGTGCCAGAGGGCTCTGACAGCTCCCTGTGCCTGGCAGCAGGAGCAGATCTGCAGGACTGTGGGGCTCTTATCAGGGGTGGACAGGCTGGGGACAGTGGGACAGGGTGAGCACCAGCACAGGGACCTTCCCTGTGGCACAGAGCGAGGTGGCCAAGCAGGAAAGTCAGGAGCCTCTGGGAGAGTCAGTGGTGCGGAGTAAAATGGGTCTGAGCCAGCACAGGCACCTCTGGGTTGTGCAAACACCTCGTGGGTGCTCAGCCAGCAGTTCCTGACCTGCAGGGACTGGCACCTCTTTCCTTGCGAGTGTTTGAGCTCAGCTCTGAGCTGCAGGGCCCCAGCAATGCCAGGCCTCGCTGTCTTTGCTTCCCTTCCTTCAGTTCCTCTCAGGGTTGGTTATTTCTTTAAGAGTCAAGCAGTGGAGCCCAGGTTATTTGCATCTGGAATTTGCTTCTTGGATGTGATTAAACATTGAACCCAAAGCAAACATGGAGGCTCTGGTGTTGCATCAGGGCAGGCATGAGCAAGGGCCCTGTGTTACCTGGCTAGGTAACCCTTCCTCCCTCGGAGAGCCTGTTTGCTCTCCATGTGCACTGCAGGATGACATTTCCCCCAGAAATACAAACTGATTATTTCTGTCAGAGCAGTGTATTTCTGTATTTCCCTTTTTTTTTTTTTTTTCCCTTCTTCCTTTTTGTTTTTTGCCTCTGACGTGTCCTTTGTGCCTTTTTTTATAAAATCACTGTCCCAGGCTGACCTTTGACCAGCTCCATTCTGCTCTCCTGCCCCCTTGAAATCTCCTCTTTGGTGCAAGTGCAGAGTTGTCCCTGCATGGAAAGCAAAGTGTCCTGTGCTTCTTGGGGCAGCTCTGGAGCACCCAGAGCCTTGAGGGACACCAGGTTTTGTCCCATGGTGGCCTCGCTCCTCATGTCTGAAGGGGGCAGGTGGGGCTGTGCTGTGAGCCGGGGCCCCTGCCATGCCCTGTCCCTGCTGTCCCCTGCCAGGGCTGAGCTCTGGCTGGTTTTGGTGCCCAGGTGCAGCACAGCTGCGAGCTGGATTCCTGCACACCGAGCACGAGCTGAGGGAGCCCAAGGCAGTGAGCCAGGCCGACATGAAGGTGGAAATCCTGCCCGCCCTCACTGACAACTACATGTACCTGCTCATCGACCAGGACACCAGGGAGGCTGCCATCGTGGACCCCGTGCAGCCCCAGAAGGTAACACCCCTGGCTCTGGGGTGGCCTTGCAGGAGGGAACGAGCCCCAGGCTGCCTCAGGTGTGGGGGAAAGGCTGGAAGGGCTGGCTGGGCACAGGGACAGCCTGGGGACACCCCAGGGATTGTTGTGTCCCCAGCTCACCCCAGGGACTGCTGTGTCCTTCACTCCATCCAGGAATTACTGACCTGGTTTGGGATTTTGGCCTTAATTTGATGTAGAGCAGAAAAGGGAAATGGTACTTGGGGCTGGGTCAGGGCTCGTGTGCTGTCCTCTCCCTCCAGCCTGGGGTCACCCCAGGGATTGCTGTGTCCCCCACTCACCCCAGGGATTGCTGTGTCCCTCACTCACCTCAGGGCCTGCTGTGTCCCTCACTCATTTCAGGGATTGCTGTGTCCCTCATTTCAGGGATTGCTGTGTCCCTCACTCATTTCAGGGATTGCTGTGTCCCTCATTCCAGGGATTGCTGTGTCCCTCATTTCAGGAGTTGCTGTGTCCTCACCCCAGGAATTACTGACCTGGTTTGGAATTTTGGCCTTAATTTGATGTAGGGCAGAAAAGGGAAATGGCACTTGGGGCTGGGTCAGGGCTCGTGTGCTGTCCTCTCCCTCCAGCCTGGGTGGGATGAGCTGCTGCAGGGCTGCTGTGGCTCTCACCCCTCATGCCCAGGTGCCACCAGGGGTGCTGCCAGCTCGTTCCCTGGTGTGACTCTCCTCCTGTGTCCCTCCTGCAGGTTTTGGATGCAGTCAAGAAGCATGGAGTGAGGCTGACCACTGTCCTGACCACCCACCACCACTGGTAACCACCCTGTCCTGGTCCCTCACACACACACAGCCAGGATCCAGGGTGATCTCTGAGCAGCAGCTGAGGCAGAAGGACCAGAGCTCATCCTTTGGCCTTGCTCTGAGCTGTGTGTCAGTGCCTTTCACCTTTGAAATGGTGATTTTTGCAGGCAGCCAGTGCAGTGCAGGGTGTGGAGGCAGCTGTGGCTGTGGGAGGGAGCAAATTTGTGCTGTAGTGCCAGGACAGGCCCGTGAGGTGTCCTGCAGTCAGCACTGTGGGAGGATCACACAGGTACAAATTGGCTCTGCCAGGGTGTAAATGAATGCTTTGCTGTGGTAATCTGCCTGTGGGTCAGAGTGGAGCCACCCCTGTGGCTGAGAGTGGAACAAGCAGCCCTGAGCTGACAAAGCAGCAGCACAGCAGTGCTGGACTCTGGGCTGGCTCTGTGCCTGCTCCCTGGTGTTTTGTGGGGTGCTGGAGTGCCCATTTTCCACTCACCCCATTCCCTCCCTGCCCCAGTACTGGAGAGGTTACTGGGAGCCCCTAGGCTGCTGTTTCCCACCTGGGATGGACTTGTCAGGGATTGATTCCCCCTCTGAGTGCCCCAATTACTGCAGAAATGATCTCCACTCCTGTTGTTGTGCCTGTCCTTGGCTGGGAGGAGAGGCTGGATCAGAAATGACCACCTGGAGCTCACCACTGCACTCCCAGTGACCACAAACCTGTGCTCATCCCTCCCTAAACCCCTTTTTTCCCTTGCAGGGACCATGCAGGAGGCAATGAGAAGCTGGTGAAGATGGAGCCAGGGCTGTATGTGTATGGAGGGGACAGCAGGGTGGGGGCCCTGACCCACAGAGTGTCCCACCTGACATCTCTCAAGGTAAAGGGAGGCACTGCAGGGCTCTGGGCGTCCCCTCCCTGTGGCACAGCTCTGTCCCACCTGGGCTGGGCACCTCTGGTGCCTTTCAGCACATGGGGGATGGCTGAAATGCAGCTTTCACCATTTTCCAGTCCTGGGACTGCAACCCCTCTGCCTTGTGTGAGGACAGCACTGGGGCACCTGGGACGTGCTGGGTGTCCCTGTGCAGCTGGGGACAGGGCAGAGACAGTGTGACAGAGGCAAAATGACAGGGCAGGGACAGTGTGACAGGGCAGGGCCTGTGTGACAGAGCAGGGACAGTGTGACAGAGGCAGCATGACAGGGCAGGGACAGTGTGACAGGACAGGGACAGTGTGACAGGACAGTGTGAGAGGATAAGGACAGTGTGACAGAGCAGTGTCAGTGTGACGGGGACACTGTGACAGGGCAGGGACTGTGCTCTGCCAGGAGCAGTGAGATCCAGGAGAACAGATCCAGCTGTTCCTGTGGGATGCCAGCTGGGAGATGGGCTGAGCACAGCAGTGCCAGCCTGGCTGTCCCCTGCTGGCAGGGAGCTGGGACAGGTGACAGCAGTGCTGGGACAGGTGCAGGCAGGCATGAAGGGCCTGGGGTGCACCCCAGGAGGGACACAGCACAGGAAGGGTGGGCACATGAGGCTGTGTTGAATCCTTGTCTTTTCCTCACTTCTCCCCTTCAACTCCATTTCTGTTGGGGTTTTTCCACGCTCCATCAGCTTTGTTTAGGATTCTCTGTTGGCTCCTGCTGCCAGCCAGGCTTTGAGGGCATGGACATGAAAGGATGTGGCAGTTCCCTTTGTCAGGACACCTGCTTGAGGAAACAGCTCCGTGCCAGCCCTCCCTCCCTCCCCGGGCTCTCCAGGAGCAGAGCTGCTGCTTCCTGCCACACTGGGGCACATTTAGGACATTAGAGCTCTGAGAGTAGCAATTCTTCTCTAACCATGCCATTGCAGCTTCAGCTTTAGTGTTCTGCCTTCTTCCCAGGTGGGATCTCTGAGTGTGAAATGCCTCAGTACGCCGTGTCACACCTCGGGACACATCTGTTATTATGTGACTAAGCCAAATAGCTCCGAGCCACCTGCAGTTTTTACAGGTGAGGAGTTGGGAGGTTCCCTTGCAAAAAAACAGAAGCTCCCCCTCTGCCTGGGTGCCTCTGGATGTGCATCCCTCCCTTCCTGCCAGGATATCCACATCCTGCTCCCCTTTCCGAGCAGGTGGAGCTGGGGAAGCCCCTCTGGATTTGTGAGCCAGAGCTGCACACCCTGCAGGCAGCATCAGCAGCGAGCCCTGCATGAGTCCCACATCCAGCATTTTTTTTTCCTGGAAAAAGAGCTGTTTGTTTCCTGTTTGAGGCCAAACTGATCTCAGACCCTGTTGCTTTTCCGTATATCTGTGCTCAGGTCTGACAGCAGAGAGAGGAGAGAGTAGGGGAGTCAGGGAGGGCTGGTGCTCCACTGCTGGTTTGGGGCCTGGACCCTGCTTTGGGGAGAAGGATTCCCCTTCCCTGGGGCTCTGCTTCATCCCTGTGTTCTCCAGAAGCTCCTGCATGGAAAAGAAAGAGCCTTAAACAAGATTTTAGGGAGCACTGGGCAGAAAATAGAGGTGACTCATCATTGTTCAGTTTCACAGCAAAGAAAAGTGTTCCTTGTCCCCTGTAGGAGGGACAGCAGGGGACAGGGGCTGCCCACAGCTCAGAGGTGCTGGCAGGAGGTGCCTGCTGAGGCTCCCACGTTTGCCAGCAGTGCTGCTGGGGCCGTCCCCTGGGCCAGCAGGGGCAGGGCTGAGCCCCCAGGCTGGGGTGGGCAGCCTGCTGTGGCCTGATGCCATTGTCACCCCTGCAGGTGACACCCTGTTCGTGGCTGGCTGCGGGAAGTTCTTCGAGGGCACCCCAGAGGAGATGTACAGGGCACTGATTGAGATTCTGGGCAGCCTGGACCCCAGAACGGTACAAACCTCTCCTTTTGTGTGAGTGAGCAGCCCAGAGCAGCCCCCAGAGCAGAGGAACACCCTGAGGGTGCTGCTGGGCACAGACCCTGCTGTGTGCATGGGATGGATGCTTCCAGGAGTCCTGTGGAGCTGCAGGGCCCTGGGGAGGGTTGGCCTGCCCCAGTGTGTTTGTGCTGTGTGGGGAAGGAGCAGGGGCTGCTGGTTAAAGGCTGGGACGTGGGGCTCTCACCTGTTCAGCTGGCAGCTTGTCCTGCCTGCTGGGTCCTGGCACGTGTGCCTGACTCCATTTGGGGGTTTTGGGTGGAGTGTGCTGTTCCCGCTGTGCTGCTGGCACCTGGCAGTGCCATTGCAGTGCCCAGCGTCACTGTGTCACTGTCCCTTCTCTTCCCAGAGGGTTTACTGTGGCCACGAGTACACCATCAACAACCTCAAGTTTGCCCGGCACGTGGAGCCCAGGAACCCCAACATCCACGAGAAGCTGGCCTGGGCCAAGGTGAGCTGAGCTGCTCCTCCTTCCCTGCACACCCAGCCTTGCTCAGGAGCTGCAGGAGAGGAGACAGGGCTGGGAAAACAGAGGGAGTTAAGAGGCAGGATGCTGTGTTGCAGGGCAGCAGGGTTTGGCTGTGCCTATATTTTGCTGTCTGGGGTAGAAGTTCCCAGCCTGGAAACCCCTGTTGTGTCCAGGACCCTCCCTGCTCCCCAGAATCCCTGGTGGAGCAGCCCTGTGTCCCTCTTTGCAGGCCAAGTACGACAGTGGAGAGCCCACCATCCCCTCCACCATCGCTGAGGAGTTCACCTACAACCCCTTCATGAGAGTGAGGTAGGGAACCGTCCCAGTGCCTCCCTCATCCCTGCCTGGGTGCCTCCAGGGCTCCCACTGGCTGTCCTGGCAGAGGGTTCCTGCATTTGGGGGTTGTGCTGAGCCTCATTCCCTGGCTCAGGAGGCAGAACAGCCTTTGTGTGTCTGCTCCTGTACCCAGCAGGTGCCATTTCCTCCTGAGCCTGCAGGCCAGGCTGGAGCTGTGCCCAAGGCCAGGGTTTGGTGCTGAAGTGCAGCCCTGAGCCCTGCCCTGGTGCCTCCAGGATCCTACCCTGACCCTGCTCTTCCCTCCTGGCAGGGAGAAGTCAGTCCAGGAGCACGTTGGGGACAGCGACCCTGTGCGGGTCATGGGCGCCATCAGGAAAGAGAAGGACAACTTCAGAGTGCCCAGGGACTGAGCCCTGCCTGCATCACTTTAATGTCACTTCAAGTGTCACTTAGACCTTTCAGATGTTTTAGGAGTCAAATCTAATGTCGTGGTTGAGACAAGTTTTCTTTAGGTTCTTTGTTTTGTTTTAATTCAGAAAAAAAATAAGCACTTTGCCCTTGTTGAGATGCTCTACAGCATATTTATATTATGATGAAGAATATTTATCCTCCTCTTGCTCTCTCAAGCTGTCCCGTGTCACCTGCAGATCATTGTGCAAGTGTTGGTGTGAGACCCCAGGCTGGGCAGGATCAAGCCTGGGGGTTCAGGAAGCAGCTCCTGTCCTTGCTGTGGATGCACAAGGTGGGACTGAGACGTCTTTGTGTGAAGCAGAGACCAAAGACAGGAGCTGAAGATCTCAATGTTTCCTCCATGCTGCTACTTCAACATTCTGGATGTCCTCCAGGGCCAGACCTGCAGTGCCAGTGCTGCTCAGAGTGTCACCTGTGAACCCCACGGGCTGTCCTGGCCCTGGGGGTGGCTCTGGGGCCATCCAGCTGCTCTCTTGTCCCCAGGCATTGCTGTGCTTGCACCCTTTGAGCCCCAAGCTGTTGCATGAAGCTGCTCCCTGCTGTCCCCTGTGTGTGAGCTGGTGCCTCAGAATGCAGGAGCAGCCACTCCTGGTGGGTGCCTGTCCCCCTGAGGGTGGTGACAGCCCTGCAGCAGGCCTGGGAGCCACAGGCAGCTGAGCAGTTGTTACCTGTCCCCAGGTGAGCAGGGGTGTGGGGTGGGCACCAGGCCTCCATTTGCTTTAAAATGCTGAATTTTCTGTGGTTCAGAGAGAAAAGTGTTACCTAGAGCTGTGCTGCCACACCTGAGTGTGACTGTCCTGATGAGTGTGACTGTCCTGAGGGCTGGGCAGAGGGGAAATAAAGAAGAGCTGGAAGCAGAGGTTGTTAACTCACAGATTCCTGAATTTCTTGGGTTTGCACTAGAGATTGAAGTCAACCATTTGGAAGTGTCGCTCTGCCTAAACTTGGGGTGAGTGGGTGACACTGTGGGAACCCCAGGGCCTTTAGTGGCAGCTGCATTTTTGTGAAAGGGGGAACACAGAGAGAGTTCAGCCGTGGTTTTGCTGCCTGTGGGTGCCAGTCCTTCCTCAGGAGGGGCATTTGGGCAAGAGGGACATGGAGGGGCTGGAGCATGGCCAGGGAAGGGAATGGGGCTGGGAAGGGGCTGGAGAATTCCTGGGGGAGCTGGGAAGGGGCTCAGCCTGGAAGGTTGGGCTCTGCTCCAGGGAACAGGAGCAGAGGGAACGGCCCCAGGCTGGGCCAGGGCAGCTCAGGGTGGGATTTTAGGGAAAATTCCTTCCTGGAGGGGCTGCCCAGCCCTGGCACAGCTGC